AATGGTAAATTCAATCAGATGAGAACTGGCTACACTAAAACCAAAACTACTCGAGCTAATCTGCTGCTGGAACCGTCTAAACTCCTCTGCTGAAGCTTAGAAACATGTACGAAGGGATTTGTTCCCATTTAGCCACAAGAATATTAGTGAGGTTGGCCACTCGTGGTTCGATCAGGCCTGGTAGGAACTCCAGTTCATCCCAAAGGTGTTAAGGTTTGGAAAGTTAAAGCTGTTCTGGTCACTTGGTTTTATATCAACTTTTTTAATTTCACTTACATGTTTGAAGCGGCTTTAGGTCTTATACTATGTTCTTTTTTTTTCTTTTTTTTTAAATATTAGGCTCCTTTTTTAGATTATATAATGACAATGCATACTCAGTATTCTGTTCAGAGTCATCTGGTTTTTTAAGCTCAAGCTGAAGCTCAAGAGCACTTGGATTATGCAGCAGGACAATGATAAATAAACGACACCAGCAAGTTCACCTCTGAACGGCTAAAAAAAACAAAATAAAGTGAAGGTTTGGGAGTGCCCTGGTCAAAGTATGGACTTACATCTGATTGAGATATTTCGGCGCGACCATAAACAGGCCATTCACGCCTGATGTGAAAGACTCATTGCCAGCTATCGCAAACGCCTGACTGCAGTTCTTGCAGTGTTATCAAGGGTGACGCAGCCATCAGGTTTAGAGGGGAATTATTTTTTCACACTGGGACACGAAGGTTTGAATAGTGTTTTTCCCTTATTGAATGAAATCATAATTTAAAATGCATGTTGTACTTACTCTCATGAACTAAGACCAATATTAAAAAGTGTTTGATGTGAAGCAAATATGAAAAGGGCTCAAACAGTACTGTATTTTTTTCCAGCTCTGGGGGAGCTTTATAGATAAAGTTTATTTTCTGAACAAAAGGAGCAGAGTTCAAAATATGTAGGTGTTTAGCAACCAAGAATGGTCAAAAAAATCTTTATTCAGTTGCATTAAAAATAGCAATATTGAGTATATACATAAGAAGACCGCGAGTGCACCTGCTGAATTCACAGAGAAAGAAAAGTGTATAAAATTTAGAAACAGCTGAGCTTTATGGAGGGGATGTACACGCTTTCTAATAAACAAATCTTACTAGAATAAACCACAACAATTTATGTTGCCAATCATCTGAAAACACATGGCCTTTTTTTTCTTCTTCTTGCAACTGGGTCAAAAATGATTGCCGTAAGCATTACGTTGAGCAATCTTTCAAGTCAACACGGGTGTCTGTGCACCTATGGCTCACACGGTGTCCACCGACTCATCTGAGTGCGCCTGTGCAGAGAACCAAACCGCACGAGAAGCCAACTGGCTGATCTGGACTTTCTGCATGATCACATGCAGTACTGCTGTCTTACTAACAGTCAGAAATCCTCCTGCTAGATTTAATTTGGATGCATATCACACAATTGTGCCACCTGCTCGTTACTTTACTCCAGCTCAGTTTCTCACAAACAGCTGCTGAGGCTGCCTGCAGCTACATCCCCACAACATGTGCAAACTCGGAGCAAGCCCCGATAAGCTGCATTAGCTCAGTTGACATTTTACATGCCTTCTCGAGAAACTCTACAAAAAACACCCTACAGCCGCCGTAAACAATAATTATCTCAGCTGCTAGCTAGCGCTGTCAAACTGGGAGTCAGCGCCTGTGGAAACGAAGCTAGCTCTCACCTGACAGGTTGCTCTTCTTTCCCCTGCTAGCGCCATTTTTATCGTTAAATCCCAGCGTCTCCGTGACTCCGTCTTTCTCCTTGTTCTTCCCCGCTGTGGCAGCCTTCTTCTCCCTCTGGCTGTCCTCCTTCTCCTTCTCTTCACCCAGATCTGTCGACAGCGCCTCCGCCATCTTCGCCAAACGAAAGTTTCAGGCCGCTGCTGCCTGGGAAACTGACGGTCAGACGTCATCACGCACTGCAGGTTGTCCAACTCACCGGCAGATGTCGCCAAAGCCCTGAGATTATTTGCCGCACATTATTTATTTTTCCCTTTTCTCAGTTTATAATCCCACGAAGCTAAAGACATTAAAAAGACTGTATAAAATGACACAACTGTCAGCTTACGTTTCATTATAACCTATTCAACTGAGAAAGACTGTGAATGAACAAAATAAAACATACAAAGCTGATTGAGTTTTTATTACCGTGTATGCAATAGATTCACTATCATCATAACCCTTTTCCAATTGCACCTATAGGCAATTAGGCAATTAGTTGTGTGAAAGTAACAGAAACACACACACAAATGTGTTCAGTATTTAAGGAATTTGCTGATTTGCGTGGTTCTGCTCTTCTTATCAGGGCTGTGCAGAGCGGTTTAAAGGGGCGGGTGCTCAAAGTTAAAAAGGGGCACATTGAACCAGGCTGAATAACAACAACACACATTCATCAAGAATCTAATATGGGCAACAAGGCAAAGCAAACGTAGCTAATGCTTTACCTGATGGGTACAATGTTGCTGTTCAGGGGTTGCTGTGGATAGTGCTGGAGGGCAGGGCTGTGTTGATCTGAGACTGTAAACATTAAAAAGTCCATAGGAGAGATGGTAGCTGATTAAACAAGTGTCATGAAATAATAACAAAATGCAAAGATTGGTGACAGCGCTTGGAACCATAAGGCAACAAAAAACTGTGAGAAATAATTTAGGCTCTGCCTGTGATTCACTCTTTGCTTCTCTTCTTCCTTCCATCCCATCATTTCATATATCACTCTCCACTTGCTGTCTATCTGAGAACAAGGCACAACTTGCTATTGCAATAAACTATAATCTAATTATCCACACCTAACAACTCTTGCACTTAATCTAAAATAAAATGATGAGAGAAAAATGTTATAGCACTGCCTTTAGTAGCCTCACACAGCTCTGTTTCCTCCTCATGTCCTTACCAGGCATGTCTGGACAATGTTATATCATGAGTAATATTTTTTTTAAAAATCCATCTAAATAAAACACACACATGCATGCGCACACAGTGACATTTTAGACCTTCTTCAGAATACTGTATATACTATGGGCATCATGGAGCTGATCCAGAATCCTTACATTATTATTTCTTACTAGAGCTACAATAATAAAGCAATGACGAGGGGGAAGTAATAAATATGAAATAATGTATTTATGATGATTCCATTTGTTTCACTATCCACTCTGTGCAGGGGCAAAGCTTATTACATTTTTAAAATGTAGAGATACAATCATTTTACTGCTGTAAAATCCAAATTTTGTCTTATTTAAAATATAAATCTAATATAATCTGCTTCTTAATGTATGTTCTTTAAAATACAGCGTGTGTTTTTTAATATATTCTAATTATAATAATGCATAATTATGTGGACATGCATATTAGATCGATTTTTAGTAAAATATAATCCCTCCAGAAAGGCAGGAAAAGCCCTGTAACTTACTTTAAAACTAAATATGTTCCCTAAAACGGTGACAGAGCTACAGACCCATGACAGCCTTACACAGGGAGCCAGCAGCTATGACCAGCACTACTTGTGCAGTTAATAAAAGGACAGGTAATGTTTGTCGCGCTGTTGCACACACAGCAGGCTCATTTGTTTCAGTTCGTGAGTTGCAACAAGACATCTTAACAACGTGTACATAATAAGCCAATACTCCTGTGTGCTATACACTACAGTGTACGCTGTACACCTACTTACTGGTTTTGTCGCATCGTAACCAGCGCGTTCTGCCGTCAAGGGCGATCATTGGTTAAATGTGATCATGTGACTGATGCAAGCGAGATCCTTTTATTTAGCAAAACTGTGATTAATAGTTAAATATTATTGTTGAGGGGGCACAGACAGGACTCAGCACGCACACACACATTAAAAAAATAAAATAATTCTAAAAAAAAGTTGCAAAAGGGCACCTTGGGCCACCCATCAGGAAAGGGGGCGTCTCCCCCCCCCCCCCCCCCCCCCCCCCCCCCCCTCTGCACGTGCCTGCTTCTTATATATCGCTGCAGCCAACACATCTCAAGAGACACAACTTTTACTTTGAAGGCGGACTCTGGCGGACCATTACACCACTATCAAGAAGGTGACACAAGGCAGGATTTATTCATGCTTTCATGTCTTTTATGCCCATTTCGGACCCTGCCATCTTGATGTCACAGCAGAAATCAAAACCCATGAAACAAGGCAACCTTTTCTAATCTCCTGTTGTGCAGTTTTGGTGAGCCCATGTAACTTTCCGGACAGAAAAGCCCCTGGTGCAGTCTTCTGCTGCTCTAGACCATCTGGTTTGTGTTCAGAGATGCTCTTCTGCGTACCTTGGATGTAACCAGTAGATCAACAGTAGATCTACAATCTTCGGTTTTGAACACATCTCATCTTGAAGAAATTTCTTCAAAATTGCCAAAAGCATACACTTGGACCACAAACAATTTAATATTTGGAGGTCAAAGGTCAAAGTCATCAAGTCTTTATGTCTTCTTAATTTCAGCAATGCCTTGAAGGTAAGAGGTCGAAACACAAAGATGGGGACCAATAAACCCTGGTGGTATCCAATAGTCCACGCTGACCTTCAGGCTCTGGGACATAATGAACCACATCTGTCATAATTAAGCACTGGTACATGATTTTTAAAGCTGTAACCAGAATTATAGGTCACCGGTTAGATGTCTGCATGCAAAAGCCGAGCAACAAAGGTTAATTAATCCCATGAATAAAGAGGAGAGTGAAAAGAGGGAGAGAGACAGAGAGAGAGCAGAAACCAAGCGCGCAGCACGGATAGAGTTTCTCCCGGCGAGGGATCACTTTGACCTCCATGGATTCAGTTTCCCCTTCCTTGTGACTCACACGTCAAAGCTACACGCTACACGTTGATGCTACACAACGGTGGGAGCAACTATGATGCTTTTTCTTTTTTTTTCTTTTTCTTTCTTTCTTTCTTTTTAAATTGTGAGATAAACTTATGGTGATCGCCGAGCGCGCACTGCGGTTCCTGCCTCGGGGCACCATGGGCTCGTAAGATGCCTTCTCTGTGGAAGCGGATAACATTCTCGGTGGCCTCGGCGCTCTGTATCGGCTCGGTGGTCCTCTTGGTGGTGGCTTTATCCACGGAGCGGTGGGTTACCGGGCGGATCCTCTGTAAAACCGGGGTGGAGATAGTGAATGCGTCAAATCCCGAGCTGGACCAGTTCATCGGGAGCATTTATTACGGATTGTTCCAGGGAGGAAAGACCAAGAGGTGCGGGCTCGGGGACAGGCGGTCCAAAATTTACAGTAAGACGATTTCAGACTTTTAAAACTACACCGATGCTGTCTTATTAGAGTAGAACAACACGTGAGCATCACTTTTGATTATTTTTACAGGGGGGTTCACCCTGAACTCAAACTTTGTTCTTTTAGTTGTGACATGAGTATAAAACATTTACTAAGATATGATCATAGGCCTTAGAGAGGCACAAAGAAGCTGATGCTGTGAACTCAAACCACTTTCACACTCACAAAAATCAGCGTGTGGCCTTATTTTAATGAATAAACCAAAATTTTAGGGTTTGGGTAGCAAACAAAATACTAAAATTATCTAAGTTTGTTTGCTATCCACAAATTTACATAATAATGTAGAGGGTTACAGCTCTACTTTTTATACAGTCCAACAGAGCTGACAAGATGCAGTATCTGATTCTTTCTGCTCTCTCCAGTTTTCCCAAAGCTTGTGCGGACACTGAACGGGGGCCTCCACATGATGGTGATCCTATTCCTGCTGGTGGCTGTGGGTTTCGCGCTGGTCAGTCTGTCTTTCTGCATTTACAACGCACGCAAGGTTCCATACCAGAGCATCAAAGGGCACAAGGGACTCTATCTGTGGAACTTCATCGCTGGTATGTCTCAGATGATGCATCATTTTGTTTCTTGTCCTTTCCCTGACTTGCCTGCTCCTCTGTCTGCAGCTCTGTTTGGTGCCCTGGGTGTTCTGTGCTTCCTGGCAGCTGTCAGACACCACAGTCTGACCGAGCGAGTGGCAAACTTTAGGGAGCACCTCTTCGTCCTCGTTGTCTTGGATGACAGTCTGGACTGGTCTTTCTGGCTCGGCGTAGGCAGCATTGCAACTCACTTTGCTGTCTGTGGAGTGGTCGCGATGAGTCGTATCAAGCTGCCCAAACCGGAGATCAAAAAACCTGAAGAACCGACTGTCTCTGCTGTGGACCTGCTGTACTGAAGAATATTGTTTTTTAGCATTTTCATCACTAATGATGGACAAGCGCCAACCGTCAAAACAAAACAGTGCCAGGGCCCTGTTCCTTTGAAGCTGTAACTGAGTTTTAGATTAATTACAGCCAAAATTATGGAGTCATAACTACATAAATTAACAAGTTGGGACTAAAGTGGCGCCTAACTCACATACAAAGCCCAGGCAAATTCGTCCTTACCTTGATGATCATGCAGCTGTTTGAAATGACTAATGTATTAGTATAAATCTGGCTTTGATGCATATGGATTTATACATTGTTATATTTGATTTTTCAGAGTAAAAGTCAAGCTTAAAAGTAAACATGCCAAATCTCATACTTTGAATGAGTGCTGCAGTGTGCAGCACAGATCCTAAAGTCAGTATGAAAATATATATATTTTTCTTTTAAATAGTCGTGTAAATAAAGTGTTAATGTGTAATCCTATGTTTGTACATCATGAATTTAATTCAGACACTTCAAAGCTCAGCAATACATGTCTGCAAAAGAGCATAGAGGTTTACTTTAATTATGTCAATCATTCACACTAGAAGAAGATTCACTCTCCTTGGTCAGTCAGTTCATGCAGGAGACAGACATCGAGATAGAAGAGATGGACTGAATGAATGAAAAAGCTGCAGAGCGTCCATCCTGAATTACACCTTTTACCGCATTCATCATCTACATATTGTTTGCAAATACATGATTATTTTCCAATCATATTTATGTGTTGACAAAGACATAGTAGTGTCTCAAGTACGTGGTCTCTGTCAGGTCCTTTTCTGATGCTTTTTAAAATTTACTTATTTCATTTTTAAAAAGTTTTAAATGCTGAGCTTGAGAGATTCTTAGCCGATGATGCAATAAATAATTGTATGATGTGTTTAAATAAAGGACAGTGCTTTTAAGTAAAGTCTTCCTATGCAGCTTTCTATGAAGACAAAAGAAGTTGTTTGTTAGCAAAAAAGTGAAAAAATTATTTTGAAAAAGAGTTCATGTTACATCAGCAGGTCGAACTATTTCAGAGTCTTCAAGATCCATTCTCCCTTCTTCATAGAAACGTGTGTTCAGGCGTCTGCATATAAGATAGCATTAAACATCAAGTGCTTACTTTTTTGTGACTAGTTTATGACTTCTCTGGACACCAAAGCTTTGTTTTTCTTCTTAAGAGACTGTCTACAGCAGGGGTGGACAAT